TTTTTTGTCAGATCTGTTGGAATAATAACTTTGCATGCTTCTCAGATGACAGTGTTGCTCACAGCAGTTCTCTGGCCTGTGAACATCCCTGTGTGTGAGTGTGCTGCTCACACTGATGACCTCGTGCTTCTGATATCACACGTGAATGCTGCACTACACATGCTGCACTGCTGCTCCCTGTCTCCACTTCCCCTTTTCTTCACACTGATTTACAGGGCATGCAAAGCTTTACCTTCGCTGAGGAGGAACCAGTTTGGACCTCTACAGGTGGAACACATGCCAAAAGTGTTCAGCTGGGATCTGATGGCCAGCACTGTTTTCCTAAAGCTTTACTCCCATATTGTGCTAGGTCGACACATGGGTGGGACCACGCGTCAAAAAGAGGGAAAGTTACATTAATCTTGAATGCACACAAAGCTCAACAAAATGTTTTATTGCACAGAAATACTCTGTGCATGTATGGCTGGTAAAAGTTCACTCATAATTACAGGACCTTTCAAACATTTCAAACTGGGTTTTATCTGTTAAGATTCACAGTCATCCAGGTCATGTCCATCCAGCAGGAGGGACCAGAGTCACCTTTTGTTTTTTCCCTAATTCTTTTGTTACTCCCACAGTATATTATTATCACTACTCCCCACCGTCAGTTAGAATTGAAAAAGCCTCTTGGATGACACATGAAAAGAACTAATCTGAACATTTTCAAAATTGGGTTTTATTGAACTCAAACCAGCTGAAGTGACAGATATGCACTTATTACAGTATTCAGCAGTTTTCCTGCCAAACTCATCAAAATGTCAGGCAGAGACCAGAGCTCTGCTGACAGAGATCAATTCCAGATTAGGCTTTTAAAAGACATTGGCCCACAATTTGTGAATAAAATACTAACTGAGTTGAAAAGGTTTGGAAATGCAGCTGCGAACACACTGGCACGAGGAAGCTAAATAGGCTAAATGGCTGTGAATGACGAATAGGATGCCTGTTAGTCTTAGCCTCTTTTGAAATTGGTCAGCAGACGTCCAACCTGGGAGAGGGACCTGTAACCAGGGCCCTCCCATCCGCCTCTTTTTAAATGATGAAATGTTGTTTTATTGTCGGGACCTCTCCACTGTTCTTTCTCAAGTTTCACAGACAGTGAAAGCAGCCCTTCCAGCCTCAGCTGCTCCACCTCTGAACACACTCAGACCAGGCCACTGGCTGCTGGTGAAAGAGTTTCTCATGAAGCTATGGATTCAGACCACATAACTCTACCACCTCATCTGGCTTAATTCAAACAGAGCAAAAGTCACTGTATTCAGATTGTCTTCTGGATTTTCTACACACCGTACTGTGGAGCAGAATTAGAGATATATTATTACAGCTGAACCCTTTGTATCACCAAACAGTGACATGACAATGGTAAAACCAAACCAGGGGACTGGAGGGAAACCAGCATATTTATCCCTTCGATAGCTCAGCTGGTAGAGCGGAGGACTGTAGATGTTCAATTGCTGAAATCCTTAGGTCGCTGGTTCAACTCCGGTTTGAAGGAAGTCTGTTTTTTTGTCTTTCAGCATCTACACAAATGTTGCTGAGCCCACAGCATACAGACAGCTTCTATAAAAACTATTATCACCCTGATCTCTCCTGTCATTCAAACCACTAAACCACTGTGTGAGCTCAGTGGACCATCCCTAACAGCCAGTGTCAGAGGTCAGCACCAACAACACCACAACATTATTCCAGGAGGATGGGTTTAATAAACACAGTCAACTTGCTGAGCCCCAATACACAACACACACAGCAGAGTGTTTCAGAGGGAGCGTACTAGGCTCATAACCCAGAGGTAGATGGATCCAAACCATCCTCCTCTAGCATTTATCTTCAAACTCTGACACTGTGGTAAATTCTCAGTGACTAGCTCATGGCTTCAAAAGGTCTTTTTGCTATGGTTTTCATTATTGTAGGCCGAGATGAAAGTTCCTCTGTCCATACACAGAAGCAACGCTTTCAGGCTTCACACTGTTTTTTGGTAATAAAGAGAGAGATGCTGGAAAGAGAAGAATCGTGTCATGGTGTATAAAGAGTGGTTCCCAACAAACAGGTGGTAGAATGTTCTTCACAAAGATCTGAGGAGGAGGATCAGACAGAGAAAGGACAGCTGAAGACCATCTGGTGAAGGTGAGAAAGACTACAGGCCCTGTTATCTACACAACTGGCTTTTCTTTCCGGGTCAGCATGGTCAGATGTGTCTGATTCAGACACCTTCCTGGAAATTCAAGGTTCTGCTCAAAATCTGTAGTGAAGGTAACCCCCTCATGAGCGGGTTTAATGAAACAGTGATGAGAGATGCCTTTGAGCTGACCCTCTGGTTCTGGACCTCTGGTTCTGGCTCCTCTGGTTCTGGACTTCTGTTCTGGACCTCTGGTTCTGGACCTCTGGTTCTGGACCTCTGGTTGTGGACCTGATGCTGCTCTGTGCTGTCAGCTAGCCCCTTCCCAAAAAATGGTGCAAATAAAGGCAGAAAATAGGAGCTTTTTGGACAGCTAGAGGCAGAATGTCTGTTTATGTAAATGACAGACCAGTGTGTCTTGTATGTGGAGCTAACGTGGCTCTAACTAAGGAGTAAAACATCAGACCACACTTTGAAATGAAACACCACCACAAGTACCATGTGAGTTAATTTCTTGCAGAAACATGGCGAATTTAGAACTCAGTCACAAAGAACTGCTCAGTGGGATCCATTTTTTTCTCATACTTTGTATTTAGATAGATAAATATATAACATTTAAATTGTATGCTAAACGTCTTTATGGTGAAGGTAATATTGCTAACTGTTTATTCAGAATATATAATCTGTTATTTGAGCCATCCGTGGAACAGCAGCTGCTAAGAAAGCTTCAAGCAGCCTCGAACAGCTACAGACCCACCCCCCTCCCCACAACATTTCCTGAGCATTTCCTGACATGACAGAACATCCCAAAAAGAAAAGCTGATTTCTGTTTCATAAATCATGCTAATGATATGGTTACCTCTTTCCTGATATGTTACAGTGTTGTCAGGATGGCCGAGCGGTCTAAGGTGCCAGACTCAAGGATTGTAATCTCTTCCTTAAAGAGGGGATTTCTGGTCTCCAGAAGGAGGCGTGGGTTCAAATCCCACTCCTGACACCCAATGATTCTTATTATACAGTACTTAAAATTTTGTGAAGTCGGTCACCTGTGGACTGAGTAGCTGCAATTTACATTCTTTTAAAATTAATCAACCTTATTGCAGCCTTATTAGATAATTTGTTCAAATTATTGTTCTACTATTAAGTGTCCAAAAGGGGGGTTGAATCCCCTCTGGCAGAGACTACAGCCTTAACACAGCACCTTGGACCACTCAGCCAGTCTGACCCTCTGGCCTGAGTTTGGCTGGGGTTGGAACTAGAGGATGACACGGGAGTGGATTTTCACTCCTGTCCCGTCCCACTCCCATAGAAAGACATCTTGTCCCGTCCCACTCCCAGACCAAAGTTTAAAAAATAATCCCGTCCCATCCCGCTCCCGTTTAAACTGACTCCCGCTCCTGTACCGCTCCCGTATATTTTTTATATATATATTTTTATCTTAAATTAGTGTTTAGTTAATACATAGAATTTGATTTAATCAGCTCTCCAGTCTCCATCCTGTTTTAGACAGGTTGCTTTGCCCCTGTTTCTAGATTTTCTCCAGAAAATGGAATACAGCAAATAAAAGAAAAACTGTAGGTCACACCATGTCTACAATGTTTAATAAACCCAAACAGCACATAAAGCTGGATTTTACTAATTTATTGTTGAGTAAACAAAACATTTATAGTTTACATTTTTTTAATTACATTTGAACAATTTTCATCAATTATGCTCTTGAATCTTATCTATATGTTGCTGTGTAGGAATAAAATTGCGTCTACATTTTCTGGACTGAGCGTAGAGCGCCTCTCCTCTATCAGTCTTCCTGCAACACTGAAGCTACGCTCAGAAGGAGTACTTGTTGCGGGGATAGCTAGCAGCCTCTTGGCAACTGGTACGAGCCCACCTGACATATCCCGCCAAAAGTCAAGAAGACACTGGAAACGTGTCAACTTAGTGTCACTCATGTACTTCAGCACCAACTGGAGACCATGTGACTCCGTATCACCACTGTCCTCCTTCCTTTCCTCCTCTTCCACACAACTTGCAAAGAAGTTATGCACCTCCATAGCTCCTTGCTCTGGGGGTGGATCTTCAGGAAAAAAGACAGATTCTTATAGAACATTATCATTTACAATCTAGTTCTTCTTAGTCTAACATACTCAATTGTCTAACACACCTATATTAAACATTACCTATAAGGTAATCCTCACACCTGTCCTGTATGCGTGTGTCACTCTAAATAAATTAAAAGAAATTGTCATTTGCTCTGCAACTGCTGTTGATGCTAGTGTTATTCACCCTCTTTCTCCACAAGGCCTCTCACTCTCTTCTCTGTCTCTGCCGTTTCTGTGAATGCTGTCAGGGTGCTGATGACCTCCTCATACTCCTGACCGTTGAGAGTTTTCCTTAAGAAACTCCTCAGGCTTGGAGAGAGAGCTGTGGCCACCTTATGGTACAGGTGGACTTTGAATTTCATCTCCACTGCCTGGGCTAACTTCCCTTTCAGCTAGGGGAGGAGGAGCATGACAATACATGCAACATCATTGCACTGTACTTGTGATTGCTACTTGAATGACCACCAACTTAATGAAAATCAGAAATGTATTGTATTACCTCTTTTACAATCACACTGTCTCCATCCTGGATCGACAAACCCCTCAGTAGAGTTTCCTTGGTCGGGAGGACAAGGTGAAGGGTAGGTGTCTGATCAGTGGAGAGATGCCTGGTAGCCTCATCGAAAGGTTTCAGGAGTTGGATGATGTCTTCAAGAAGTTCACAGTCTATGTTGTTGAGATAACGGAGCTCGTTTCGGCGAAGCAGGATGTCATGCAGCCTCCCAGATCTCAGAGCATCATTAACAGATTGGAGCATTGCTAGTCTGGTATTCCACCTTGTCTCCACAGATTGCTTCAGTGACTGGTCCAGTGCTTTTTGCAACCTAAAATATAAAGAGATTGCACAAGAAAAATGGATGTTACGGTGACACAAATTCAAATTCATTGGCCTCTCTTTTGAGAAAACAACATCTATAAAAAAAAAGAGAGATTTATTTAAAATTGAGTAAAAAAACAAAGACCTGTGCAGGTATAAATGACAGTAGCTTCTTTTTATTTATTTAACTTTAATTTCTTTCAAATTATATAAGCAGTTTTACCAGGAAGAAATTAAATTTATGCTATTTTACCCTGCTCTTTTGAAGTGTGTGACAAGGGTCTTTGTGTCCTTAAACAGCTTGATGATGTTGCTGTGCACTGGGTTGTTCTCGTCCAAGTGGTCAAATACATATTTTAAGATTAAGTTGATATTATGGCCAGCACAGGAGAGTCGGACATAATCCTTGAATGCTGCAACCACATTTGAGCCATTATCCGTTACAAATGCGGTGTCGTTGCTCAGGATGCCAAATTCCTGTGTGAGGTAAAAAAAAAAAAAAAGATTAAAAAAGACTAACACAAAAGCTTTGCAAAAAGAAGCCCAGATATAAGAGCATCAAAACAGAATGACTAACGGTCCTGTAACTGAACAGAGAACTTTTCAATAAATGTTTATAACTATATTAGGACAAAACATAGTGTTTACACATATGCTTAATGCATATCAGCGCAGGAGGACACTAAGATATAAAAATATGAAAACAATTTTTAAAAGTTTGACATTTTTATGAAACGTTTTCCTAAATCTGTCAAAAAAGTAAAACTGCCTCCGACACAGAGAGCAGCAAATGCAGCTGTCTGCAACAAACTGATGTCAGTGCAGTAAGGGACAGTGACACACACATGGCTACTGTTGTATTTATTGCTATATTTCTCTTATTGTATATTTTTTCATGTAAACATGTTTTTTGTTGTTACTATTGCACATGTTCTCATACTTTTCCAAATTTTATCATTAATTAGCAATATTAATTACATATGCCTTGTGGACAAAGATGATCTTATTTGGGAGACAGACAGACACACGGAGAGAGATACCTGAAGGATTCCCTCCACAGTGCTTCTGATGCGGTCACTGGATTTAACACCTTCCATCTCTCTTGTAGCCAGAATCCGATTTACCATCTTCCAGTCAAGGATGTAATGCACTGTAACAGTTATGTAGTGTGTGTTGGTCCTTTCCTCTGTCCAAAGGTCTGTGGTTACAGCATGGTCTCTAGTCTGCATGATAGGAGGAATTATGTTTTTAATGGGCCACAAAATATCTTACATGTAAAAAAGATTACCAGTTTAGAATATGGAGATATTATGGCGTTTAAAAATTTTAAGAAAAATCTTAAAAGATTCTATAGAATCTATAGATCACAGACTACTGCGTGAGAGGTACAATTTATGTAGAAATATAGTGCAGTGACATACCTGACGGAGCTCCTCCATGACCAGCAGTTTGATCTTCTCATACTCCCCTTCTACGTGACGGGAAACTGTACGTGCACATGGCAGTATGTCCTCCACATGCACGTTGCTTCCATATTTGGCCCCAATGTCCAGCAGCTCCTGTGCTACATTAGCAAAGCCTTTCCCCTCTACCACAGCAAAGGGTCTGAGATCTTGGCTGCACATGCGAGCAATTTTGTTGGTCAGACGAGACTTGACACCCGACGGCAATTTTCGCTTGATGAACGAAGCGATGCTTGGCTGATTCTTTCCCGAATCTGCCTTGCAAATGTGCCTCTTCAGACCGCTCGTCCCCGAATCACTCGCGTACTTGACCAACACTAAACAAGTCTTACAAGCAGCGTACACCGTGCTAACACCGTCACATTCCACAAACTTAAATAATATGTCAGACTTTCCGACCAGTTCTGTGAACTTAATAGAAATGTCGTTACATCTTACTTTCCGCTGTAAATCATTTTTTGCTGCATCGACGTCTCCGCGGCTGTTAGCTCCTCCATCATTGATTTGAATTCCGACGGTAAGCCGTGACAAAAAGCACTGTGACTCTGATGGCTTCTGGGACGACTGGGTCATGTACCGTATTTTCACAACTATAAGGCCCCTTTGGGGCGGGGCGCCTTTTGTGTTTACTGCGGACGTTGTTGAGGCCACCATGAGAACGTTAAAGGGGAAGTGTGGGCGTGGATTGTGTATAAAACAACAGGTATGTGCAGGTATGTGCATTATGCAAAACATTGTTGTCTTAACAACCCTGAGAAAGGCAAAGAGACACGCCTATGAAGCTCAGTTTAAACTGAAGGCTATCAGCTACGCAGAGGAACACGGAAATAGAGCAGCCGCGAGAGAACTTAAGATTAATGAGTCGATGGTTCGTAAGTGGAGGAAGATGGAAAACGAACTCCGACGTTCGATTAATACTTTGTAATAAATAAATGAATAAAGCACAAACAAACTCAGTTTTGCTCCCGATCTATTTTTAACTACGCAGTAGAGGTATTTAAACGTAGTAGAGCATATGTACCAGTATATAAAACCCGCGCCCTGTGGTGCCTTTTTGTACGGTGATTCTTATGGTCGTGAAAATACGGTAGTTATTTTTTAATTGCGTTACATTGTAGGGATATTAAAAGGAAACTACAAAATGGTGCATTTACTTTTTTTTTTTTTCGTCTTTGCTATTGGTTGATTCCCGCTCCCGTCTGCTCCCGTTAACCATTCATCCTGTACCGTCCCAATCCCGTGATTAATAGCAAAGATGACTCCCATCCCGCAGGAATCCCGCGGGAATCCCGTGACCCGTGGTATTCCCGAAAAAATGTCAGCCTCTACTCTGTAGTCACAAAATATATGAAAGACAAAGTAGCAGTTTAAAAAGGATTAGTTAAAAAGAAATTTGCACTTCATGAGAAAGATCACTTTTACTTGGGAAAACTCTGTGATGTAGGGTTGCCACCTTTCAGAAATGAAAATACGGACGCATGCTACAGCCCATGTCACCCTTCTTTCATAATGGTGGGATGGCCGGTGTAGTCATAGAAAGTATTTGGTAAAAAGTCTACTCAAGTACTGAGTAACTGATCATAACACCTGATATAATGTTCAAAATTTCTCAGACAGCAAGAAATAAAGTTATGTGCAAATATGTATGTGACTGCTGGTTCCAGATCAAATTTACCACGGGGGCCAGTAGTCAATGGCCCCCGTGGGAACCTGTAGTCCAGAACTACAGGTTGCAGATCCCTGATCTAGCAGATGGAAAGTGTCATTATTTTCACTAGATAAGCTAAAACTACAGCAACATAAGTTTTAAAGAATAAACAGACAATATCATTTCTTCAGTTTCCCTCTTAATTTTTAAAAAGATTGCTAGCATTCATCCTCACTGACACTGTTTAGCCTGGGATGTGTGTCTTCCTTCTCAGGTCTGTATCTTTGCTAGGACATGGTAGAGTATCGGTTGAGGACATTTTAAAAAGACGCAGGTTGAGAGCGGCTCACCACGACTGCTAAGCCCCTTTTGCACCGCTGGTACGGGTGTCCGTCTCTAGGCAACCGTGACATCATCATTGGTCCAACGCGTTCTGGGGTCCTTACTAGCTCCCGCCACAATTTAGCTTACCTCAACATGTCTTGTGTTTTATTTTCGTAATTAGTGTTACACTAAATGCGTGTGATAGGCGTTACTGTCGGACATACAGAAATAACGAACAAATCGCGTCTCGTATACGGGGCGATTCCGTATTTTACGAAACGGGTGGCAATCCTACTTTGCTCTTCTCCCATTAAAATTGTAGAAACTATATCAAGCACAAATAAAATCTCCAATTTGGTAGGTAACTGGTATTTTGAATGATGTTGTAATGACAATACATTTCTTAATTAATTCATAAATGAAGTCACCCAAACAATACAGTAGCTGATCAGAGTGGGGTCGGAAGTGTTCACAGCCCCTCTTTGAAGCACACAAGGCAGCCATATTAGCTTACTACATTAGCGGTAGCATCTCCTGAAAAATTACGACTTTACTAAGACTGCTTGTGTCAGTCTCACCTAAGACAACATACAACCAACCCAGAAAGTCACCACCCATCAGTTCTCTTTAAGGATTCTAGACGTGGCGCAAGTGGTATTTCTTTTTTAAATAAAACGGGGAAAATCTGGTGGGGGAGGAGGGGGGGGGGGTGCTAGGAGGTAGCGAGAAGTAATATGCCGGCACTACACGGTGTAAGATTAACAACGGCCCAAACCAGTGTTTTAAATCAGGCTTTAAGATAATGTGTCAAACTTCATGCGCAAAATCAAATATACTACAGAAATATGAAAGCATTAAGCTCACCGTTGGGTTTGAGTTCGCCTCCATGGTCGCGGGTGATACTGGTACTTCTTCAATATGACGGTGGTGTCACGTGATTAGGTGGATGTTGGAATCGGACATCCATTGCTAACGTCTGTGATCTGAAGTAACATTGGCCATTTTTACAGCAGATTTTTAGACGCTGAATTTGAGACAGCGAATTTGAGCAAGTTGAATTGGAGGACAACGAAAATATTGCATTTGAATTTTGAAAAGTTGAATTTTTTATATGCTGAATTTTTTAACACTGAAAATTTAAACTGTGAAAAATATGTATATTGAAAATTTTATCACTTTGAAATAGGAATGTGAATTTTTTTAATAACTGAAAATTGCAACCATGTAAAAAAAATTACACTGAATTTTTTTTTAATGTACAAATGACTGAATTTTTTTTAAGTTAAAAATATATTCTGAATTTATTTTAATACTGAAAAAGTAAGCACTAATATACAACATTCAAATTTCAGAGGTATTTTTTATTCAAATTCTGATGGCACGTATTTACTTCCATAGGCTCACTCCTTTATGTAGAGCTCACTCCTTTATGTAGAGCTCACTCCTTTATGTAGAGCTTCTGCTGTTCTCCCTCTCCGGGTTTTTGCGGCTTGTCTGAATTTTGTCACATTGGTCTTGTGTGCCACTCTTCCTGTTTGCAGCACTGCTTTTTTGACTTGATTGTCTCCCGATGGCTCCCTTTTCCTTTGAAGTAAGTATTTTGCACTGCAGGAAGGGAATGTACAAACAGCACTTATATTTAAGTAAGAACAGTTCATTTTAGTTTTATGTGCTGGCTCTTGAATGAAAGAATACAACAATGATTCTTTTTGCGGAAACTTCTATACAACACACTTGTTCATGGCTGCCTAAGTTTTGTGGAACCACGGCTTGGAACAATTTTTTTCCATTTCTTTAGATTCACAGTTATTGTGAATCTCTTGGGCACCACAGGCAACTGTCTTCATTCACTGTTGTTTCCGGTCTTGGCTCTTTTCTTTGTTCTTATCTTTTTTTTATCTTGCTCTTGTCCTACTTCATTCACTTCGGTCTCTAGTGCAAAATCTTCGTCATCCTGAGCTGTACTCTGCCATGTCATTTTATTTTCTTCTTCTCCGACTTCATTGTCTTCTGTTTCCTCATCTGACACTAGTTCAATATTCTCAGTCAGATTTAGAGGCAGATTCTCTGTTCCGCTGTCTTCAACTGCCACTGTATCATGTGTTTCATCCTCCTTTTGTTCCTGATTCATAATCAGATCCCTCACTCCATTCCCATTCTGGGTCCATATAATCCACAGCCAATGGCAATTTTTCTGCCTATCTTCACCAAATAGGTGTGCAGATAGTTCCGACCATATCTGGGAAGAATAAGCCCTATCTCTGTTTGTTATGTTAACGGTTGTCATTGCTCTGACCACAACTTCTTTTCCCCCTGCCACTGCCCATAGGTCTTTCCTCTTTTGTCTGTGTCCTTTTTTTACTCTTCCCATTGTCTCACAATAGTCCCAAGCCTAGGGAAAGGGAACAAGGGAAAAGCTAAAACCTTGACCTAAAAATGTGTGATGAAAATAGTGATAATCAATTGTATGTTTTACATATGCTTGAGAACCTGGGGTTAAAATTTCAGCTGTACAAAATAACACAATACGTTGACAAACACTTAATGTAATCATAATGCATTATAAAAAGTTGACAAGCACTTAATTTAATCATCATGCATTATCCAAAGTTGACAAACACTTAATTTAATCGTGCAACTGCTACAGGCATAGTAAAATAAAGATAAATTACTTACATATAACCAAGGAAAGATTGTGGTAGTAAACTGGCAGAGTACTCCAAGGCAAAAAGATGTCCTTCTGTCTTTCTGCAGTAAAGACTGAAATCTGCTCCTGCAAGTAGAGTTTAATTGACAGTGGCTCCTGATTGGATGGTAAGAGGTCAACTTGGGGTGAGATATGACACACTTTCTTGCTGCAACACGTTGGTCAAGTCTGTATGTTTTAAAAATGCTTTATAAATAAACAAAATATACATCACTAAGAAGGTACAAATGATGTGTACAGTGGTTTTGGTGAGGCTAGAGTTAATAATAGTGTAGTTATGGATTATTTATCCAAATA